AAAATTCAGTGCGTGCGTTGAAATACACAGTTCTGTTAACGATCTTTTAAAAGCTGGAATTTTTTGATGAAATTACGGTATGTGATTATTTATAATGAGTATAAATCTACAGGGAGAAACTTACTGTTTCCATAAACCTCGTGTAATTCGCGAGTTTCTAACATTTGGCATACATTTTTCCGTGTGATTCTCAAGACCTAGTTTATTAATTGTAGATCACGATAAGTATTACGTATTTTGGCAATGTAACATTATTTGTGCATTACCTTCGGATTTAACCATCCAGTCTTCTCTGCGTATAAAATATACTAATATAATGTCAACTATGATGAGAACTAATGAACACGTTAGGCATATTCTGATCTCTGTGTCATACGTTGGCTCATTCACTGGATAAAATACAATACCTGCAAATAATTGGTAATATGATTTTTTCTAGTGAGGAATTTTCTAAAAGTTTATTTAATTATTGTTAAACTAACTTTGGATTATATACGCCAATGTATTGTAATGCCAACCAATTAAACTAATACTTACTTGTCCCACTCAGATAAACAACGAAATACGTCATATTAATATAGTTCTCTGCATAGCATGTGTAATTACCGTAATCTGTATATGTCACGTTTGTAATTAACAACACACTAGTCTGTATTGTGTCTTTCTTTGTTTCAACAATTATACTTCTGTTTGTACCGTTGATGACCTCATTCCCCAATGAATCATACCATGTGATCCTGGAATCCGGGTTACTATTAACTTCACACGTTAGATTAGCTGTTTCCATTACGTCAGCTTTTACCAAACCCTCGTCAGTATTTTCAATAAATGGACTATCTGTGATTAGAAAAAAAAATAGCTGTGAATGTCCCCGTTGGAATAGCGGAAATATTATTCATGCCAAAAATAAAGTTACAGACCAACAGCATAGTTAGCAATTGAGAGTGAATGAATGGCTGATCTTGTACGAAGAGAATATAGATGTATTAAATTACTCTTCAAAAATAGAAATATATGGTCTAAACGGAATTTCCTTTGTCTGGGCTCATGTAGAGAGTTATGGTAGTATGCTCAAAAACACGATTGCCGACAGTCAATCCTCTTCGACTCGATTGTGACACTAATTGTCATGGACATGTATCCTAACATGTGCAATTTGAAGAAAAAAGAAACATGTCAGCGAAACATTTTGAAAAAAAACGATGGCTGCCAGTTGGTCATTTTGCTTTCTTTTATTAACACGAAACAAATGATCATGAACATGTATCTCAATATATATAATCAAATTTGAACACAAACCGAGAAATCCTGTCCAAGAAACCACATTTTTGCAAAAAAACAAGATGGATGCCAGTTGGCCATCTTTGATCTGATTATGGAACAAACTGACATAAACATGTATTTCTATATTCATGATGTATATGTCAAATGTGAATAAAATGGTCCAAAAGCCTTGGTGATATACTAGAACGGTCAAAAAACAAGATGGATGCCAGTCGGTCATCATTGACCTGCTTATGAAACAAACTGATATGAACAAATATTCCAATATTTATGATGTATGTGCTAAATAATAATGAGAATGACCCTTAAGACTTGGAGATATATTAGTATGATCAAAAAGCAAGATGGCTGTCGTGGACTTGTAATATAAAATGTACAATGTATGTAATAAAAACAGACAAAGCATGCATACGATAGTACATTTTTAAGAAAAATGGCTGCCAGATAGCCATTTTGGACTGTCCCAGATAAAGTACTAGGTACATGCAATGAATGAACAGATTTTGTTTACAGGGTTCTGAAATGTGACTATGGATGGATGAAAGGACAGACGGACTGAAGAACGGATGAACTTCGTTTGAACGCGGGTAATAAAATGGTACTAAAGATGCAACACTAATAAAACATATTGCACTAATACCACAGTGACCCTCTTACTTACAATGCACATTCAGTACGGTTTTATTGGACGAATACATTTCTTCATTGAATTCAGGATTATACGCCTCACAATAAATCACCGCTCCATGGTCCAAATATGTTATTGGCTTTGTTAGATTTTGTGATGTTTGCTTCCCATTAAATTCTGCATGGGTATAACGTGGTACACTGAGTCCATATTGTACTTCCATATCATCTACATACCATATTAACTCAGCTTGTGGATTACTACTACATGACGTACATGTCAATATTAACTCTTCACCAGCCATTACATGACCATCGTAACCAGTAAGACTAGTCTGGCAAGGAAATGGTTCTGTAGGGGGAACTAAACATAATTGCGCATCAATATATTTGTATAATTACATGTTGTATAATTAAGTCAGCAATTATAACATATATTTCATATGTTATAATCAATTTAATACATCAGCGTAATCTACGTCTTTATAACAAAACCATGTTATCATTCACCGGTTTTGACGTTTAGTGTCCGATATCACAGCAAATACGATACGGGTGAGGTCACAGTATTCACTACTCAATCGGACAGTATATGGAAAACTGTCAGTCTGTTTTGTTTTTATCGTGGTCATGTGCGATAACAATGGTTACTCGCAAGGTTTATTAGCAATAACTCCTTGGAATGCCTAAAAGTTTATTTTGAAAGTTATCGCATTGTGTTTGCCTAAAACCGCCGGTAAGCGTAACTTCAACGTCCAACAACGCGTTTATAAGTAGTACATAAATAACATTCATTGGCATAGCATTTCGATGCGTAGTTCAAGAAAATATTATATGGTCTATCTATTTTTCTGTCGGTTGGTGGGTCATTCCAAAATTTAGCACCCTAGTTGTTCCGTCAGTGTGGCCAAAAAGAACACCGGTCCGCCGGACTGGCTGACATATTAGTTACTGAATCCAATTACGTTCGTGGTCTTTTCCTTGCTGATGGATTTGTTTATAATGCGCATACAACCCTGGAGGTTCCTGTAGTGTTCATAGAGGACGAGCATATCTTTTTACTTCATTGCCGTAAATATTAAAAATTAGGTTAATAAATAATAATAGTTCCCCATGATTACTACAATTCACGCAATCAAATTGATTAAATTGATAAAATATTAGTCGACTGTTCAACCCTACTCCAACTGAATGAAAAAAAATATTGTCGTGAGTGGCCATGACAATTAGCGTGGTTGGTAAAAAAAATCATTAAATGTATTTATATAAAAAATAACAATTTAAAATGGACAATAGACAAAAAACAAATTGTAATATTTTGTGAATAAGGCAGTTATATCAAATTGAGGCCAACTGCATATATTTCATACTCACAATATACATCTAATATTATGTAGTCTGAACGAATAGATGCGTTCTCCACGAACAGGAATGATGCGCATTGATACACAGCGCTATTGTGTTGAGCAGTCAAATATATCTCCAAATGCTGCTGGGTGATGGTTCCACTGTATTCACCATCAATGTAGTCAGTATTAACAACAGTTTCGCAGTCGCTGTCCGTAACTGATGTATTATTCCGATACCATTCAATGGATGACGGTGGGTTACTACTACTGGATGTACACATCAAGGTTATGTATTCACCACGGTCGTATGGATTGTTTGGTTCTGATAATAAGATGTCTACTGCAGCAACTGTCAATATTAAAAATACCAGATGCATTTTCAGGAGAATTTGTACAACAAAGAACATTTGCGTCCCAAGTCAATATATTCAAACAACACAACAACTTACGTTGGAAAGTCTTATTGTGTCGTGTTGATATTGTAAATATTCAAGAACGTTCTACCTACATGATACATTTAATGGTCCACTGCTACATGTCAGAGGATCTGTTTGTATAATATTGGTTGCTTCACACACATACACACCAGTGTTATCCGCCCTGCTGAGAGCCCAACTGTAAGTTGCAATACTCTCACTGTCACCTGGTTCCGGTGTAGTCCCAGTCATCACCATACCACTAGATGTATTGACCCATTGCAGAGTTGCGAGTGGGTTTCCATCTAATGATACACATGTTAGAGTAATTTCATTTCCTTCCTTGAAAACGTTATTCTCTGCTGCCTCATTACACATTGGACTGTCTGGAGTATCTATGTATAAAATGGAAAGAAATCATACATATTATTTCTTTGTTGTGTAATGTACGTTAGGAACTGTATTGTCAACATAATGTTGTCATTTAACTTTACAGGTAATGGTCAAATGATGAGGGTGGTGAATAAAAGTAATGTTGACAAGTTATAATTTATAAAACATACTTTATACATACATTTAACATCTAGTTGCCCAGTATCACAGTCATACGTCTCAGAAGATGCATCAGATTTACCAGTACACGTGTATACACGTCCATTGTCTGAAGACTCCAGTTCCCATGTACATGAAGAAATTGTTAACTCATGAGTTTGTTCCTGCTCATTCAAGATGCAACTTTTATCCAGTAGCTCAAACTTACTATTATGCCAGTACAGTTCTGGAGTTGGGTTGCCTCCAGTGGCATCACATATAATAACAATCTGATCTCCTTCCTGGAAATAGCCAGTGGACGGTTCATCAGATACAGTACAGTTTGGCCAACCATCATTTGGTAAATCTACAAGTGATATATTTTCATAAAGTATAATGACGCAAGAGACAATGGTAATATAACTAATTGAGTTATTCAGTGACCTACTTGTGGATATTATCATATTTTCTAATATTAAACACGAATATGAAAATATAAATTTATCCTGTAATATACTTACACCAAACATCGATTAGGTCATAACACGAAGACGATCCAACTAAATTTGTCACATTGCAAATATATACACCACTATCATCTCGATGAGTATTGAGTATTGTCAATTCTGTTCCATCTTCAGAAAATGTATACCGCTCAGATTCCCCTATTGAATAGCCATTTTTGAACCATTGTACCGCTGGTGGCGGTATGCCTTCGATCGTACATGTTAAAGTCAAATTAACACCTTCTACTGGTTGCGTATTGTGTTGAAGTGTGCAATTCGGTGACTGAGATTCTGAAATATGGCACAATAGAAATAACACATATATTCATATAAAGCGTAGATTTTGACAATAGGCATTTTAAGCTGCAATAGCACGTGTTTCGTAATGCACTGTATATAGCATGAGAGCAATCATCATCTTTATTTTTTTTGGTTTTAGGCAAAATTTAAAAGGTCTGATAAATACTTGTATGTACCTGACACAAACAGGTATGTACTATCTTGATCAATTACACCACCATGTGATGCTTCACATTCGTAGTCATTTGAATCGCCAAGTTCTGTGTCATTAATCCGAAGACTAGCTTGACCAATCAAAGAAAACCTGTCTTGATACTCTGGGTTAAAAATGACAACTCCGTTCATCTCCTGGAGGATAATAATTTCATCAGCGCCAGACATTCCGTCATACCATGTCAATATAGGATTAATGGCGTCAGTCTCGTATACACAAATCAACGTAGTGTCATATCCAACAAGTCCATATGTGATTGGATGCGGAACATTCACATCTACGGTTGACATACACTCTAGAAAGAAATGTGTTGATCAGAGAGTCTTATGTGAATACATGTAAATTTGTGGTGAAATAACCACGCAAACACCAGTTAAATGGCCGTGGTTTGAACATCTACTCACCAATGACACAAACGGTGAACACAAGCGAAAGTAACATCGGTACTCTGCGATTTAAAAACATAATGACTGAAAGGCACCAGGATTACTACATACTCGTTGCATATGCCTGTTATATAGTCCAA